CTCCCTCAAGTTCTCTACAGTAAGCTCTTCAATCAAAGCTGTCTTTCAGAGATGACAGAAATGAGCAAAGGGGGACATCACAAAGAAGCTGAGGAAGAGGCCGTGGTTACAATAACCGAAGTTCTGGTTTTAGAGGAAGTGGCAGAAGAGGTCCAGCCAGAGGAGGAAGAAGTCAACCAGACCTTGCTCTAAGAGGAAGAGAAAGCGGTAGAGGAGGTGGTTACAACAACCGACCAGGATTTGACAAAAGCAATGTTCAGTGCTACTAGTGCCACAAGTTCGGGCATTACAGCAATGAATGCCGAAGTAGAACAACAACAGAAGCCAGAGAGCAAGCAAATTTTGCCAAGGAGGAAACAAATAAAGTTGGACCTACAGTCTTGTTTGTCCACCATGGAGACACTGAAAACCAAAACAATGTTTGGTATCTAGATTCGGGAGCCAATAATCACATGTGTGGTAAAAGAGAGTTGTTCGTTGAGCCTGACGAGACTGTACAAGCACAAGTATCATTTGGTGATTCTTCAAAGGCTCCAGTGAAAGGAAGAGGTAATATTCTGATCAAGCTCAAGAATGGAGATCATGATTACATCTCCAATGTTTATTATGTTCCTGCTATGAAGAACAAAATTTTGAGTATGGGACAACTCTTAGAGAAAGGATATGACGTCAGCATGAAAGATTGTCATCTTACCATCAAAGACAATCATGGTAATTTGATCGCTCGGGTGAGAATGTCCAAGAATCGGATGTTTGCATTGAACATCCAACATGATGCTGCAAAGTGTTTAAGTGCCATTATCAAAGACAAAGACTGGCTATGGCATTTGAGGTTTGGACATCTCAACTTTGGAAGCTTGAAGCTATTGTCAAGCAAGAGTATGGTGAAAGGGCTCCACCATATTGCTCATACTAATGAGGTCTGTGAAAGCTGCATTCTTGGCAAGCATCACAGAACTAGCTTTGCCAAAGAATTGAAGTGGAGAGTAACAAAGCCACTGGAGCTAGTGCACACTGATGTGTGTGGTCCATTGAAGCCGATGTCAAATGGACAGAATAGATATTTTCTCACATTCATTGATGATTATAGCCGGAAGACATGGGTATACTTTCTTAAAAGAAAGTCGGAGGTGTTCAGTATCTTCAAAGAATTCAAAGCTTTTGTAGAGAAGCAAAGCGGCTACTACATCAAGACATTGTGATCAGATCAAGGTGGAGAATATACATCAGATGCTTTCGAGAATTATTGCAAAGAGCATGGAATCAAGCATCAAACAGCCCCATCCTATACGCCATAGCTGAATGGTGTTGCTGAAAAGAAGAATCACACAATCTTAGATATGGCAAGAAGCATGTTGAAAGGAAAGGGACTGCCCAAGCAATTTTGGGCTGAAGCCGTATCATGTGCTGTGTATCTACTAAATAGATGCCCAACTAGGAGCCTTTATTCTATGACTCCAGAAGAAGCTTGGAGTTCACATAAGCCAAGTGTCAACCATCTCAGAATATTTGGGTGTGTTGCGTACACCAAGATTCCAGAAGTAAGAAGAACCAAGCTCGATGATAAGGGAGAAAAATGTATCCTTGTCGGATATGGATACAGAACAATGGGATACAAGTTGTATAATCCTATTACCAGAAAGGTGATCATGAGTAGAGATGTGATATTTGAAGAAGAAGAAGCTTGGAACTGGAATGAAGATGAAGTTGTAAAAGATGCAGAACTCATTCTTGAAGATGAAACATCAAAAGCTTTAGTTGAAAGTACAAGAGAAGTTTAAGATGAGCCACAAACTCCTCCACATAGAATACCTGCACCTAGATCACCAGTTTCTCATAGAAGTGCTGTATCATCATCAGCATCAGATGATAGCTTTTTCTAATAACCAAGACCAATGAGAAATTTGCATGAGATATATGAAGCTACAGAAGAAGCAGATCTGAATTTGTTCTGCCTACTTGCAGATAGTGATCCACTTACCTTCTTAGAAGCCATCCAAGAACATAAATGGAAGAAAGCAATGGATGAAGAAATTCATGCCATTGAGAAAAATGACACATGGAAGCTTACCAGTCTACCTGAGGGGCACAAACCCATTGGAGTGAAATGGGTATACAAGACAAAGAGGAATGCACAAGGCGAAGTGCAACGCTACAAGGCAAGGTTAGTAGCAAAAGTTTACAAGCAGAGAGCTGGAATTGAATATGAAGAGGTGTTTGCTCCAGTTGCCTGATTGGAGACTATCTGGCTAATGATTTCTTTGGCTGCCCAGCACAAGTGGCAGATTTATCAACTTGATGTGAAATCTGCATTTCTTAATGGTTTCCTTAAAGAAGAAATCTATATTGAACAACCTTTGGGGTATGTTCAGAATGGGCATGAAGACAAAGTGTACAAATTGAAGAAAACACTTTATGGATTGAAGCAAGTTCCACGTGCATGGAATACTAGAATTAATTAGTATTTTCATGACAATGGTTTTGAAAAATGTCCATATGAGCACGCACTATATTTGAAGAAGGAAGCTGATGGAACCATGTTGCTTGCCTGTCTTTATGTTGATGATCTAATCTTCACCGGAAACAATCCAACCATATTCAAAGACATTAAAAGAAACATGGTCCAAGAATTTGAAATGACAGATATTGGATTGATGGCTCATTTTCTTGGCATTGAAGTGGAACAAAGAAAAGATGGAATTTTTATTTTCCAAAGTGGCTATGCCAAGGAAATTCTCAAGTGATGGAATGGAGAATTGCAATCCAGTGAACACTCTTGTAGACAGTGGAGTGGAGCTCAGAAAAGGTACGAAGGCAGGTGATGTGGATCCTACTTATTTCAAGAGCCTAGTTGGAAGTCTTCGTTATCTTACTTGCACTAGGCCAGACATACTCTATGGAGTAGGACTGATTAGCAGATATATGGAAACACCGGATCAGTCACACCATTATGCAGCAAAGAGGATTCTTCACTACATCAAAGGTACAGTCGATGATGGTTTATTCTATAAGCCAACTGATAATTTTAGTCTTGCTGGCTACTCAGATAACGACTGGGGACGTGACTTGGATGAACGGAAAAGTAGTACGGGATTTACTTTCTTTACGGGAGATACAGCCTTCACGTGGTCATCCAAGAAGGAAGCCATTGTGACATTATCAACTTGCGAAGCTGAGTATGTTGCAGCCAACTCAGCTGTGTGTCATGCAATATGGTTACGAAACATGCTGAAGCATTTGGGATTTCCACAAGAAAAACCCACTGAGATCTATGTTGATAATCGCTCAGTAATTGCATTGGCAAAGAACCCAGTTTATCATGAAAAGAGTAAGCATATTGACACCCGCTATCATTTCATCCGAGAGCATGTGAAAAATAAAGAGGTGGAATTATTTATTGCAAATCTCAAGATCAACTTGCAGATATTTTCACGAAGCCATTGAAAAAATGATCTGTTCAACAGAATGAAGATGAAGATAATGCTCGGGATGAAGTAGCATGAAAAATCAAGATTAAGGGGGGATGTTGTGAAGTAATCTTGGTTGGTTGGCTGCATTCAATGAGTTGGTTGATTGCATTAAATGAGTTTGGTTGCTGCATTCAATGTGGTGGTTAATAGCCGTATCCGCATTGAATGCATTCACACTGATAGCTATACTTGAAATAAATGCGTTCACATTGTATGTTTTCATCTATATATAGCTATGTTATTGTAAGGTTTCAGAGTGTATGGGAGAAAGAAAATAAAAGAGAGAAGAGTGTGTTTATGCTCTGTATTTGTTTCAGAATTGTTGTGAGTGAATTTAATTTCAGTTTGGTTCATTATTAAACCTCTCTTTGTGAATCACCAACAGTGGTTTGCACCCCACTCTCACCAACAAACAGTCCCTATAGTTTAGAGGTTGTGTCACTTTGGTCCTTAACTTTTCAATTGTAACACATTTGACCCTGAATTTTTAATCTTGTTCCAAATAAGGACAATTGAAGATACCATTATTTAATTTCAAGGACAAAATTGTGAATTTGATAAAATATAAACTAATTTGAAAAATAAATGTTAAAAATATATTTTGAATTTTTAAAAATTATTTATAGTCACTAAAGATAAAATTATGTAAAATTAATAAATCTTTTAGACATTTATTTATTTATTTATTTTTACCAAATTAATTTTTATTATGTGTTTGGATGATGATCATGTAATGAGGGTTGTTTTTATTTTCATTAAATTAGCTTCTATTTTTTAAAAAGTCAAATATGGCGACAATTTTGATATCATTATTAAACAAATTTATTAAATCAAAAAATCCAAAACTAAAAACATTTCATATATTAAATATACCGATTACATATTAAAATCCTAGCAACCACCCATTACATGATCATTATCCAAACACATAATTAAAATTAATTTGATAAAATAAATAAATATTTAAAAGATTTATCAATTTTATATAATTTTATCTTTGGTGGGTAAAAATAATTTTTAAAAATTCAAAAATATTTTTTTGACATTTATTTCTATCAAATTAGTTTATATTTTATCAAATTGACTATTTTGCCCTTGAAATTAAGCAATGATATCTTCAATTATCCTTATTTGGAACAAGATTCAAAATTCATGGTCAAATGTGTCATAATTGAAAAATCAGGGACCAAAGTGACACAACTCCCAAATTATGGGGACTGTTAGTGTAATTCGCCTTTTTTTTTTTTTTTTTTTTTCAAGAATAATGTTTACAAATATCAAAATAATTACCCCATATAATATATCTGTTTAATTTGGGTTGCTCATCCAGGCAACAATTGCATAGTTTTTGTGTTTGACTATAACTTAATTTTTATTGGAGTTATATTAATTTCTTACTTTTTCCAAAATCTAATTGTTAATTTACATTATACTGCAGAGGGAACCATGACTTGCCCTCAAAGTGGAAATTTTATGTGTCTTCTCTATGCCAATTTAAATCATACTAAAAACTTCTTATAGAAAGCAATATCAGGAAACAGTAGAAACATTGTCATTAATTAATAGTATTAATTGAAAAAAAAAATAACAAAAAACAAATACAATTGAAAGAACTTGCTAGAGAATCTCCATGAAATTATTTCCTCATGGGAATATGCTTCTTCTTTTTTTTCTTTGAAATCAAGCAATCAAAACATGAGATAAATCAAACAATGAAACAAATATATAAAATTTTCTTCACTACCCTTGATTTGTTGCTGTCTTAAAACTTAGATTGGAGCTGATCAACCACGTTCTTGTCCACTCGGAACGCCTTGGCGAGAACTTCACTAGCAATGGGAGGATTTGATCCGAAAACTGCATTTGCTATGGTTATGACTCCTGGGTTTTGGCTGCTCAACGCGGCAATTGCTACTGCATGTCCATACCCAACATTATGTTGGAAATGAACAAGTCCCACTGGGAAGACAAACACATCACCCTTCTGGAGGACCTTAGTAATGAGGCGGTTATCAGGGTTTGAGGTAACAAATCCAACATGAAGGGAGCCTTCTAAAACTGTGAGTATTTCAGAGGCTCGAGGATGGGTGTGGGGAGGGTTAATTCCCCATGGAGCATAGTCAATGCGTGCCATTGAGATGCCAAGGGTGTTGAGCCCTGTTAGCTGAGCCACAGTCACTGGAGTGACCTTCGACCCAACAGAGTTTGACGTGTTTCCTGTAATATGGAGACCGCTAAAGAAGAAATCATTGGCTTCAACTAGCATGGGATTCTTGCAGGCTAGACCATTCACTCTTGCTGCCAATGAACACAATGATTAGAACTAGAACTAGAACATGTTTCACTACCATGAAGATTTTGGTGGTGTTTGGGAAGTTTGTGTGTTGGGTTTTTATTGATTTTTTACACTAAAAGACAAACTTTTTACAAAACCAAAAAAAACAAATCCAAACAAAATATCACATCCAACTCCATAATCATTTCACTTTTTCTCTCACAAACATCACATCCAACCACAAAAAAACTCAACTATATTCCCAAACACCAAAATTTTTTTATCCAATAATATCCTATAACTAAAAAAACCTACATAAAAACCCACTTCCCAAACACCCACTTTAACTACTAATAATAAATATATGATAATGTAACTAATTTGCAAATAAAAAACACTTGTCTTTAGTGGTTTATGAGCAGTATCAATTGTGAGATATTTAACTAGTTTGCAGATTTTAACTAATATGCAGCAAATAATGTAAGTAATTTGAAAATAAATATTTATCTTTAGTAGTCTACAAGTAGTATCAATTGTGAGTCATGGCTTGTGACCACCCTTTTTTCCAAATGCCTTAAAAAAAGATAATTTTTAAAAATATGTTTTTTTCATAAAAAATTTAGAAAAAAAAAAATTAATTAAAAAAGGGTTATCAAACCCGACAAGCGGCTACATTTGAATGTTGGATTTGTGAACTTTTGCTTTACAAATCACTCCTCAAATTCAAAATCCAAATAGAAATAGTGCAACATTAGCTCATAAACACGGACTGGGTTAGTATATAGATGGATAAGCAATATACCTGAGCTATTAGTTTCTGCGACGCAGAAATCCTGGAGGGGTGCAGGTTCAAATGCAAAGGCAAGGTAGCAGAAACTAAGAGTAATGAGAGTAAACAAGACACCACTTTTTGTCATTTTAAAGCAACTGACTAACATCTATTCAAGAAGAACAAGAACAACAAGATCAGCAATATGAAAGCAAGAAAGAAAAACACTAGTTGAGAGAAGATGAGACAAGTATATCTTTGGAGCTTCTTATTTATAGAGGACGACACAAAAAGCTCTAGCTTAAATCTTCTACTAAAAAAAAAAAAAAAACCGCGTTTGTGAAATAATTTATTATTTGAGAAATTGCCGTCCAAACACATCAAAGAGTTTTAATATCTGGGATCAGATAAATTTATACAGATGTTCTTCATAGTGCTATAGATTCGAGCATATTAATATATGTATAAGAGGGTTGGCTGACTTGGTTTATATTGTTAAGAAATTATCAATTTTAGGTTGAGAGATGACTAGTCAGATCCAGACTTTAACTCTTATGTTTGTTTTTTGTTGTCTAACTATTTTTGTTATTTGAATTGGGACTACTAATTGTCTAATTCCTTGTTTGTTATAGTGCGGTTCAATCTAATATGTGTCTAATAATTATGATTATACATATTAAATAGTGTGGGACCTATTATTAAAAATATTATTTCATTCAGATTGCCGTGTTAATATTTTCTGTGATTAGCATTGTTTCGTTGGTAGGGTGGAACTTACCTTTATAATTTATTGTAAAATGTATAATGGTATAACCCTTATTAGTTTTATAAAAATCATTTTATTTACTCTCTATTTCGCTGGTTTTACAAAATTTTTGACTCATCGAATCTCAATTACATGAAATTTTCATGCGTCCACATCTCTTCTTCAACCAATTCTATTTTTGTGTGCTTTTACTTTTTTATTTTTATCTTTTTGAAAACTCAAAGAAATTGTTTTTGAAAATGTTAGATGTGAATTTTATTTTAAAAGTTTGAACCAAACTATTCAGGGCACAAAGATGACCATAATTTTTAAATATTTTTATTTCCCCGTATAGAATTCTTAGCCAAACCAAAGTCTTGAATGAAATTGAGATCTAAGGTTTATTCTCCGGCTTAGGCTTCTTTCGGTCTGAGTCCAAAATTAGATTGGAGTGTGTTATTAGGCCTCTATGGGTTTATCACATATTGATAACCATTCAATGTGTAAGGATTGTCGAGTATTTCATCCTTACAAAACATCACGTTGATCGGATATTGATAGCTCTTGATCAAATCAAATTTGTCTAAACGGTAAGTATGATTTTAAAAATAAATTGTTCACATAAATGCGATCTGATAAAAATAAAAAAATAAAAAAAAAGCGATCTGATCAAAGTCTGATATCCGATTAATGTGAGTTTTTACAAAGATAAAGTATTTGACAATTCCTATACATTGACTGTTTGGATCATCGAAACCGATCCAAAATAGACTCAAAATTAGCCGAATTTTGTAGAGTATTTCATATATATCATTAGTCAATAGAAAATTAAGTTTATTTAATAATTGTAATGTTTTCATGTTATTATGTTTGTACTCGAAAAAATTGATGCTCTATATTCTTAAAAAGATATTTGTCATTCATTTTTTTATACACAAATACCATAAAGTGAAAATGTCACGAATCACGATTACCGGATTCATCTAATTTTTTTCCTTAGATGATATACAAGGCCTAGCTCCAACATTTTTGAGACCCAAAGCGAACTCCTAACATGAACACTTTCATTCATTACACACAAAAAATAAAAAATAAAAAATAAAAAAATGTGATAAAAAGATTGTGCATTAAAATTATTATTTTTAATGTATTTAACAGTACTTACAAATAGTTACTTACTTATATAACAATTAAAATTCACTTAAATATATAACAAAATTTACGATAAGAAAAATGACCAAAATATTCTTAAGCTCAAGCACCAATTAAAAAGTGAACAAATTGTAACACAATACTTAAACATGACCAAAATAATCTTAAGCTCAAGCACCAATTAAAAAGTGAACAAATTGTAACACAATACTTAAACATGACCAAAATAATCTTAAGCTCAAGCACCAATTAAAAAGTGAACAAATTGTAACACAATACTTAAACATGACCAAAATAATCTTAAGCTCAAGCACCAATTAAAAAGTGAACAAATTGTAACACAATACTTAAACATGACCAAAATAATCTTAAGCTCAAGCACCAATTAAAAAGTGAACAAATTGTAACACAATACTTAAACATGACCAAAATAATCTTAAGCTCAAGCACCAATTAAAAAGTGAACAAATTGTAACACAATACTTAAACATGACCAAAATAATCTTAAGCTCAAGCACCAATTAAAAAGTGAACAAATTGTAACACAATACTTAAACATGACCAAAATAATCTTAAGCTCAAGCACCAATTAAAAAGTGAACAAATTGTAACACAATACTTAAACATGACCAAAATAATCTTAAGCTCAAGCACCAATTAAAAAGTGAACAAATTGTAACACAATACTTAAACATGACCAAAATAATCTTAAGCTCAAGCACCAATTAAAAAGTGAACAAATTGTAACACAATACTTAAACATGACCAAAATAATCTTAAGCTCAAGCACCAATTAAAAAGTGAACAAATTGTAACACAATACTTAAACATGACCAAAATAATCTTAAGCTCAAGCACCAATTAAAAAGTGAACAAATTGTAACACAATACTTAAACATGACCAAAATAATCTTAAGCTCAAGCACCAATTAAAAAGTGAACAAATTGTAACACAATACTTAAACATGACCAAAATAATCTTAAGCTCAAGCACCAATTAAAAAGTGAACAAATTGTAACACAATACTTAAACATGACCAAAATAATCTTAAGCTCAAGCACCAATTAAAAAGTGAACAAATTGTAACACAATACTTAAACATGACCAAAATAATCTTAAGCTCAAGCACCAATTAAAAAGTGAACAAATTGTAACACAATACTTAAACATGACCAAAATAATCTTAAGCTCAAGCACCAATTAAAAAGTGAACAAATTGTAACACAATACTTAAACATGACCAAAATAATCTTAAGCTCAAGCACCAATTAAAAAGTGAACAAATTGTAACACAATACTTAAACATGACCAAAATAATCTTAAGCTCAAGCACCAATTAAAAAGTGAACAAATTGTAACACAATACTTAAACATGACCAAAATAATCTTAAGCTCAAGCACCAATTAAAAAGTGAACAAATTGTAACACAATACTTACTAATTTAATGAAAATAAAAACAACCACTTATTACATGATCATCATCCAAACATATAATAAAAATTAATTTGGTAAAAAAAATAAATGTGTAAAAAATTTATCAATTTTATATAATTTTATCAGTGGTGGACAGAAATAATTTTTAAAAATTTAAAATTGTTTGTTGAGATTTATTTTTGTCAAATTATTTTATATTTTATCAAATTGACGATTTTACTTTCGAAATTGAATAATGGTATATTCAATTGTCTTTATTTGAAACAAGATTCAAAATTCAGGTTCAAATGTGTCATAATTGAAAAATCAGGGACCAAAGTGACACAACTCCCAAATTATGGGGACTGTTAGTGTAATTCGCCTTTTTTTTTTTTTTTTTTCTCAAGAATAATGTTTACAAATATCAAAATAATTACCCCATATAATATATCTGTTTAATTTGGGTTGCTCATCCAGGCAACAATTGCATAGTTTTTGTGTTTGACTATAACTTAATTTTTATTGGAGTTATATTAATTTCTTACTTTTTCCAAAATCTAATTGTTAATTTACATTATACTGCAGAGGGAACCATGACTTGCCCTCAAAGTGGAAATTTTATGTGTCTTCTCTATGCCAATTTAAATCATACTAAAAACTTCTTATAGAAAGCAATATCAGGAAACAGTAGAAACATTGTCATTAATTAATAGTATTAATTGAAAAAAAAAATAACAAAAAACAAATACAATTGAAAGAACTTGCTAGAGAATCTCCATGAAATTATTTCCTCATGGGAATATGCTTCTTCTTTTTTTTCTTTGAAATCAAGCAATCAAAACATGAGATAAATCAAACAATGAAACAAATATATAAAATTTTCTTCACTACCCTTGATTTGTTGCTGTCTTAAAACTTAGATTGGAGCTGATCAACCACGTTCTTGTCCACTCGGAACGCCTTGGCGAGAACTTCACTAGCAATGGGAGGATTTGATCCGAAAACTGCATTTGCTATGGTTATGACTCCTGGGTTTTGGCTGCTCAACGCGGCAATTGCTACTGCATGTCCATACCCAACATTATGTTGGAAATGAACAAGTCCCACTGGGAAGACAAACACATCACCCTTCTGGAGGACCTTAGTAATGAGGCGGTTATCAGGGTTTGAGGTAACAAATCCAACATGAAGGGAGCCTTCTAAAACTGTGAGTATTTCAGAGGCTCGAGGATGGGTGTGGGGAGGGTTAATTCCCCATGGAGCATAGTCAATGCGTGCCATTGAGATGCCAAGGGTGTTGAGCCCTGTTAGCTGAGCCACAGTCACTGGAGTGACCTTCGACCCAACAGAGTTTGACGTGTTTCCTGTAATATGGAGACCGCTAAAGAAGAAATCATTGGCTTCAACTAGCATGGGATTCTTGCAGGCTAGACCATTCACTCTTGCTGCCAATGAACACAATGATTAGAACTAGAACTAGAACATGTTTCACTACCATGAAGATTTTAACTACTAATAATAAATATATGATAATGTAACTAATTTGCAAATAAAAAACACTTGTCTTTAGTGGTTCATGAGCAGTATCAATTGTGAGATATTTAACTAGTTTGCAGATTTTAACTAATATGCAGCAAATAATGTAAGTAATTTGCAAATAAATATTTATCTTTAGTAGTCTACAAGTAGTATCAATTGTGAGTCATGGCTTGTGACCACCCTTTTTTCCAAATGCCTTAAAAAAAGATAATTTTTAAAAATATGTTTTTTTCATAAAAAATTTAGATAAAAAAAAATTAATTAAAAAAGGTTTATCAAACCCGACAAGCGGCTACATTTGAATGTTGGATTTGTGAACTTTTGCTTTACAAATCACTCCTCAAATTCAAAATCCAAATAGAAATAGTG